TTGGGGAGATTGTGTCCCCCTGCCTTACACCCTTCTTGATGTGTATTCTGTTGCTTTATGAAGCACTATGGTAGCAGTTGATCACCTGTAGATTTCTTCCAGGATGTTTATATTGTTACGAATAAATAAATAAATAGCACCTGGTACTGTATAAACTCTTTATTTAGGGCGAACTTGTGCCCGTAAACTCAAAACTAAAAATGGCCAGCCAAAAATGTCTCTTGCTCGCGGACTACAACTACGTCGTTCTCTTCCTCTGCCCCTCGGGTCTCGTGCCGGTCCCATGGCGTAGCATCGTGGCGCGTGCAGGACGGCGTTCTATGGTGCGGCTTTCTTGCTACTTGCTTGACGGCTTTTACGAACGCGAATTGTGGTACGCGTCTTCTGCGATGGTCGAGCTGTGACATTAGTCCCCCTCCTAGCACGCATCGCCCCGATGCGTAGAACCGGCTGACAGTTTCTAAACAATAGGACTTGTCCTTGTGTCAGACGACGTGAGTCATTTCACTTGTTCAGTTCCGGTCGTAGTACGGTTTCATACGTACTACATGTACAACTTCCGGGAGATTCCTGCGTCGTGTTGTGCATACTTGACCTTCAGGGATCATTTCGTAGTTTAATGGGCCTAGCTGACGAAGAACCCTGTAAGGGCCGAAATAGCACCGCATAAGCTTTTCTGATAGGCCACGTGCACGTACAGGCGTCCAGACCCACACTTGGTCTCCAGGGGAGTACTGAACGTCCCTTCGTCTTAGATTGTAACGGTGCGCGTCGACGTCCTGCTGTTGAATGATGCAGTTCCGTGCTAGTTGTCGCGCCTCTTCTGCCCTTTCTACATATTCGCTTATGTCAGGGTCCTCCTGATTCGTGCTGTTGACAAGCAGCATCGCGTCAAATGTCGTTATTACTGTCCGACCATAAACAAGTTGAAATGGCGTGAAGTGGGTTGTCTCTTGTACTGCGGTATTGTATGCAAATGTAGCATACGGCAATATGGTGTCCCAAGTCCGATGCTCGACGTCCACATACATCGCGATCATGTCAGCAAGCGTCCTGTTCAGCCTTTCAGTTAACCCATTAGTTTGCGGATGGTATGCGGTAGTTCTTCTGTGGTCGGTGTGCGTTAGTTTCATGACAAACTGTACTAGCCTGGCAGTGAACGCAGTTCCTTTGTCAGTTATAAGAACTTTAGGTGCGCCATGTCGCAGCACTATCTGGGTCACAAAAAACTGAGCCACTTCATTTGCCGTTCCTTTTGTGAGAGATGACGTCTCGGCATACCGGGTCATGTAGTCGGTTGCTACAACTATCCAGCGCTTCCCAAACGATGACATAGGAAATGGTCCTAGCAAATCCATTCCGACCTGCTCAAACGGGACTTTCAGTGGCTCTATTGGTTTCAAAAGACCTGCTGGTTTTAGGTGTGGTACTTTGCGTCTTTGGCATTCTCGACATGATCTTACGTAATGTTGTACTGAATCCATCAATTTTGGCCAGTAATATCTCCGGCGGATTCTTGCCAAAGTCCTACTAATGCCCAAGTGACCTGCCGAAGGGTCATCATGACACGCTTCTAAAATTTCCGCTCGCAGTGATGATGGTATCAGCAGTAGGAACGTTTCACCGGTGTGTTGAAAGTTTCTCTTGTAGAGAACGTTGTTGCGGAGGACGTAGGAACGTAGTCCGCGGACGAAAACTCGCGGTACTTCGACTTCCTGCCCCTCTAAGTATTGAATGAGCAGAAGTAATTCTGGGTCCATTCGTTGATCATGAGCCATCTCCGACACATTCACAGCTCCAAGAAATGCGGAGTCTTGTTCATGCTCAGGAGACGAGTTCTGGATTGGTGCTCGTGACAAGCAATCCGCGTCATTGTGCTTGTGGCCAGACTCTTAGACTACGGTGATGTCATATTCTTGTAGACGCAGGCTCCATCTAGCAAGTCTTCCGGAAGGATCCTTGAGGTTCGCAAGCCAGCACAATGAATGATGGTCACTGATGGCTCGGAATTGTCTGCCTTATAAATATGGACGGAACTTACTGATGACCCATATAATTGCGAGACATTCCTTTTCCGTAGCTGAATAATTATACTCAGCTTTCGACAGAGTGCGACTTGCATAAGCAATAACTTTTTCTTCCCCGTTCTGCCATTGAACAAGAATAGCACCGAGGCCAACGTTGCTGGCGTCCGTATGAATGTCTGTTTTGGCATCTTCGTCAAAATGAGCGAGTATGGGAGGTGACTGCAAACGCCGTCGTAACTCAGAGAAGGCGTCTTCTTGCTCTTGGTGCCAGATGAATGGCACACCTTCCTTCGTAAGCCGTGTCAGTGGTTCCGCAATCTTGGAGGAATTTTCAACGAAGCGCCTATAGTAGGCACAAAGCCCCAGGAAACGTCACATAGCTTTCTTGTCTCTTGGCCTTGGGAAATTTTCAACCGCAGTGATCTTATCCGGATCTGGGCGGACACCGTGAGAACTGACAATGTGCCCGAGGAACCGAAGCTTCCGGAACCCAAAGTGGCACTTTTCGGGTTTGATCGTAAGTGCAGCCATACGAATAGCGTCCAGTACCGTTCTCAATCTCTGTACGTGCTGATCGAACGTAGTGGAAAAAAATTACTACGTCATCCAGAGAGACAAGACATGACTGCCATTTGAGGCCGGAGAGCACAGTGTCCATCATCCTCTGGAAGGTAGCGGGAGCAGAACACAAACCAAATGGGAGCACTTTGAACTCGTTGAGTCCTTCGGGTGTCACAAACGCCGTCTTTTCACGATCTCGTTCGTCGACTTATATTTGCCAGTACCCGCTCTTTAGATCCAACGATGAAAAAAAAGTGAGCATTGCGCAGTTTATCCAACGTATCGTCGACTCGTGGGAGTGGGTACACGTCTCGCTTCGTGACGAGGTTGAGTTTTCTGTAATCAACACAGAATCGCATGGTGTTGTCCTTCTTCTTCACCAGTACTACCGGCGATGCCCATGGGCTTTTGGAGGGCCGTATGACATCGTCGTCGAGCATCTCCTGTACTTGCTTCTTTATCGCCTCCCTTTCTTTTGTAGCTACTCGCTATGGATGCTGACATACTGGTCTAACATGCCCTTCGATTACAATGCGGTGCTTTGCTACAGGCGTACGTCCGACTTTCGAAGAAGAGGAAAAACACTCTGCGAATTCCTTGATCAACTCCACAATCTGGTCTTTCTGCAGAGATGAAATCTCTCGGTCAATATCTATTTTCTCGAGGACACTGTCCACTGTTGGGGGCGTTGTAGGTACTTTTTCTACGGTGCAAACATCTGAGACTTGTACGTAGTCATGAAGTGATGCTATGGCTGCTCCCTTCGCCACATGCTGTACCTCGTTGGTAAAGTTAGTTAATAGCACATCAGTATATCCGTTCAGCAGGTTCACTAGACCTCTCGCCATGCGTATCCCTTTTGTGAGCAGCAGTTCGATATTTCCATCAGCTAGTCCGGCATATTCACGAAAAACGTCGCTTTTCACAGAAACTGTCACGCTGCTACGTGGCGGCACTGTCACACTTTCATCCACAATACGAAGAGACGAAACAATTGGTTGCTCCGCATGACACATGGCAACAGCGTTCTCTGTAGAGAAAGAAACTTGGGATTTCTGCAAGTCGATGATGGCACTGTTTGCTGGCAGAAAGTTCATGCCCAGAATTGCCTCACGGGAACATTCAGGGAGAACAATAAAACTGCAGACGTACACATGGCCTCTTATTCCCACTCTCGCTGTGCACAATCCTACGGGGCTGACTAAATGCCCGCCGGCGGTGCGTATCTGCGGTCCGGTCCAATGAGTGAGCACTTTATTCAGCTTATTTGCGAGCATGCTACTTATTACTGAGTAGTCTGCACCTGTATCTATTAACGCTATGGTTTCGACGTCGTCTATTCTGACTTGTACCTCGGATGTCACGTCACCATTACTGCGCTTGTCCGTATATAGATTTCATCGACGCCCTGATTCCGAAGTGTCTGCATGGCGGCTGATATTTCTACTGAATCAAACGCCTTCTCGTAATCTATGAAGGCTATGTATAGTAGTTGGTTATATTCTACGCATTTCTCTATTACCTGATAGATAGTATGAATGTGGTCGATTGCTGAGTAGCCTGTTCGAAATCCTGCTTGTTCCTTTGGTTGACACACACAGGTGTGCGAGCGTGTGTTGGACAGCCGGCGTGGCGAAGGATAATCTGAGGACGGCGAGTGTAGCAGCCCGGCGGACTGTTTGTCCTATCAGTGTTAGATTTTAACGTTTCTTGTTACTAATAAAATTTCTCTCTGTTTTGAGGTAACGTTTCCATTCCTCCCAGTGGCTAGACGACGAAAACTCCACATTAGATAAGAATGAATATTATTATATAAATAATATGGGGGTTTTACGTCCCAAAACCACAATATGATTATGAGAGACACCGTAGTGGAGGGCTCCGGAAATTTCGGCCATCTGGTATTCTTAACGCGCACTGCCGCATCTGGAATCGAACCCACGACCTTCGGGCCAGCAGCCGAGCACCCTAACCACTGCTCCACCATGACGGACATTAAACGATGCTTTGCAACAAAATTTAAGAACGGAGTTTGGGGTCCGTTCGTTGCTCTGTTCAGTCTTTTATGAACTGCTCGAGCGGCTTTTGTGATTTTCATAGTCTTACACAGCTCAGAGGTATTGAACACAAGCGTCCACTGAAAAATATTCAGCTTAATAAAGAACGTTAAAGGCGCTATGTTTAACTGTCAGGTAATAAAAGAAAGACGATGCTCTAAAGCCAAATGTCAAGGAGCGACATTTGCAAGGGGTGTACCCCCAGCCTGAACAGAAAGTGGGTCTTGTCCTCACTTATCGCCCACATCCCAGAAACCAAACGATCGTTTGCGAGCACTAGCGGCACTGCGCGCGGCTTCAAGCGGAACGAAGCACGGATAGACTATTAGTACTATAGTGAAGGAGAAGGGCTCGCCTTGGGCAGGAAAAGCAGGCACAGAGTGGTGGTGGTGGAGACGAATATGAGCGTGCCGACGAGCGCGTATGTGAGCGTGTAGCGCTCGGTCGAGATGACGTTGGCCAGCGCCACGACGAGCGCCGAGGTGATGACGGCGTTGTAGACGCTCATGCCGATGTACTGCGAGTCGTTGAGCGCCGGTATCTGGACGTTGCGCGTCTCCCAGGCCATGTAGCAGCCGACGACGAGCAGCAGGCCCTTGTAGATGTACAGCGCGCCCAGCCACTTGGCCATGTGCTCCGAGTGGCATTGCTCGCGCTGGGGCAGGTACACCACGTCCCGCTCCAGCCTGGAGATCTGCGCCCACAAAACGAGAGCAGTGTCTGCCGAGAGAGACGAACAGGCGCTGAAATTGACAGCTGTATGGAATATATTTTCGAAACAAAGTATATTTTGGTCATGTTTCTAGGGCTATGACTTGCACCTACGTCACTTTGACGTAACGGCTCGGGGCAAGTCGGCCGTGCTGGTGAACAGCGTTTAGACCTTGACCAGCGCTGTCTCGCTGTACCGGCGAGTTTATTCCTCCTCTAGGGTTACAAGCGCAGTTGTAGGCAGCTCTAGTCGTAGTGGCAGCTGCGGACGAAAGAAGCAGCCCACTAGTGTGAACCAATACTTCTTTAGAGTCGGTTCATACTCGCAACCTCGACTTGCTGCGTAAGGTGTGGGAAAACCGGAAGGGAGACAGAAAAGAGCACAGTCTACCAACTGTTTATTGTCGCTTCGCGAAACCAATTTCTTGGCCTGTCACACTGCCCGATCACGTTGGGCACAAAATCTGGAAGGTGCCGCAGACAGAGCCGTGAAAAAAACACTTCATTTGCAGTAAATGTCACAATATAAACTACGTAATCACAAGGTGTATACTTCTGTATTATCTCAATACTTTTATATTTTTATTGCAACAAGCATCTACGATGACGCGAACACATAAAAAATGACTGTAAAACTTTTTAAAAGCTCTTGACACTGACTAAAAGAATGAAACATCATTTTTAAGATCTTCCAAAGCCAGCGACAAAACTGGCTTAGAAAACCGCAATGACAAATTGTATGAAGGGAAGCAGTGTAAACTTAGGCTAGGGCTCATTTTTCTTTGTTACATGCAAGATAAATGAGAAGCAACAGACAATGCTGCAAGAAAGTATAGGGGACGTTATTAGAAGCAATTGTAATGTCTATGTGATCAAAGAAAAGTGGACGAAGAGGTACTTTGCTAATGGCATCTTTTCGTCCACGTTTCTTTTTTCACATTTACACAACAATTATTACTTATAACGTCGCCCATACTTTCCTTGGTATCGTCGTCTGTTAGTTCCCATTAATCTTGGGTCTAATATAAGAAAGCGAGCCCTTAAGTTTACACTCGTTTCCTTCACTCATAGCGAAGGTCTCGTCCTGGCAGACTCTATGCCTTCAGGTAGTATACGAGGGATTATTGGTCAGCTGCTGGCTTGTTATAAAATCACGTTACACTTGATACCATCAGGCATAAGAAGAGTGTTCGCGCTCGTGTGTGTGTCGTCCGTGTCTTTTTGCGCTGTTTATTTGTTACAATGCTACCAAAACCAACTAGCCGACGCAAGCATTAACAAAACCTGGGAGGGGCGAATCATGCTTTGTTTTGAGCGAGATTTCTTCGATGTGGCCCTATAGTGTTGCCAAGCCTCAAAACGGGCATGTAGGAAAGGGTGTTTCCGCTGCACTTACGTGACTGTCTCGGAATCCAGCTTACCCTAAGGTCCTTTCTTTTTCTTCTCCTTCGTCCCTACATGCCCGATTTCAGTTCTCCTACGACATGTAAGGAAGAATGCGTCTGTTCCACTAACGTAACTGCCTCGGAATTTAGCTTACTCTAAAATCTTTTTGTTCTTCTTCCCTACATGCCCTATTTCAGTTCTCCCTCGACATTTAAGGAAAGATGCTTCTGTTCCACTAACGTAACTGCCTCGGAATGTAGCTTACCCTAAAGCGCGTGGTTGATCTTCTCCTTCTTCCCTGCATGCCCGAGTTTAGCATCATTCCTAAGGAAGGTTGCTTCTTCTCTACTAACGCTACTTATTTGTTGCACCTTACCGTCCCCTTCTACACTTTCAGTGAACCAGTAGAGAGTTGCGGAATGTACCCAATTTAGTGGCACATAGCCACTTTCATGATGGACCGTGACTACACAACACGCCGTGACAACAAGAGACGCCGACAAGCCTAACTCCTAATGTGCTTCGAACCAAAAACGTCAGCACATATCTCCCCAAAAGACCCACGTCTCTCCAAAAAATATATTCAGGCTATAAAGCAAAATATATCCCGCAGCGTTATACCATGAAAGTTGACAAGCTTTAATCTCAATCTCCTTGAGGGCATTACAGGAAGCCTGAGAATTAAAAAAAGTCACAGCTTTGCCGGAAAGGCGAAGCAATGAACGCGACAGCAACAAATTGAAAGATCACGCGCAGAACGGAAAGCAGATCCAAACATGCCCCGCGTTCCTCACGCACAAATGACGCTCAAAACGTAATTACAGCTGCAGATGCACGCAAATAAGCGTCTCATTTGTTACTTTGCTGTGTCTGAAAAGCGCGCGCTTTTCGCCAACGGAGACTGCAAAGATTGCAGTGACCTTTCTGCACCCGGTAACTACAACAGAATCGTTCCAGGTAAAGCCCGAGGCCAGCTAAGGCGTACGACCTTCACTTCCTCGCCACTACGAGATAAGGGTGCGCGACGGAGCGTCGCTCCCCTTCTCTAAGCCGGGCAAAGTACGCGTAGGAGATTAGAGCGGGCGCCGCCGCGCGCTCATTGCGCCACCTTGCTGTTAATGCTGAAAACACATACCCCCTTTCTCCCCGAGATGCTCGTGAGCAGTGGTAAGTGGTAGATATAAGTAGCTTGCCGTTTTAACGGTGAATGATGTGCTCCGGGTTGGCTCAGTGGTCAACACCTCGCTTTCACGACGCAGAGGTCCCACGTTTGATTCCGCGCGCCGAAGTGTTTTTTTCTGATTTTTTTTCTTTCTTGCGTTCATGTATATATAGATACGTATACCTATACAGTGAATGACAACGCCGGCAGCGAAATCCCGCCGATAGTGTCCATATAATTGTTATCGCAATAAAAAAGTTCCACGTATCTTCACAAAGTGAATCATGACGAGTGGGGGAAGATCTGGGTATCGTATCGATGAGTAACCGTACGTTACCCTAGTGTAGTCACGTATAATATAAATTGAGTGACATGAAATGTATATATACAAGTGTAAATTTATTTACCTGTCCAGTCGTTCTAGGCTATTAAGGAAAATTTAGAACATTGCTGGAGTGGAGGATACGCCTCGACAGTGAGTCCAAGAACGCGCCATCTTACCGTTAGCAAGATACAATTTCAAAATATGTGAAAATTGTTGAGACATATAGTGCTCTGCGTGTGCCTTTGTGTGATAGCTTTCCTGGAGAAAGCTGTCTCTAATTTTATTTTAGTAGAGATAACGTCATCAATACAATTCTGGATAAGTTGTTTTCGCCGAGAGCAGCAATCTTTCTTCTTTTTTGAATGATTATGCTACGTCAATGTTGATGTCACTTGTAAAACCTCGTTTTTGTGTCTTACGTATGTTTCGACTATAGCGATGGTTATATTCCGTGACGACAACAGAAGACAAGGCTTGGTCCTTCGGAGCTTTGTCCCTAAAACATGTCCAAGTAACAACATCGTAAATAATTTGGAGCAGTGTATGGCACAAGTCATCAGCTCGGACAGAGATGTGCAACTGTAGCATGAGTAGACGTGCGCAGATTTTACTATTAAAATGGGTAAGGAGGGGCCACCATTAGGACCCCACACCTCCCGTTGGCTGAGCCCAAAAGACAAGAGGCTTCACATTGAATGAAAAAAAAAAGAAACTTAAGCGATGACGTGTTTACCACAACGGCCCGCCTTTGGTCCGGGGCTTTTGTGCAGCTAAACGGACGAGTAAACAATTCTAGGAATGCAACATCGGGGCCCTTCAGCCAACGTTATTGACAAAAAAGAGAGAGAAAAAAGAAAGACCCTGCGTTGTCAAAAAGCTGCTGTTACACACTGGCGGGAAAGGTCCTAATGAGTCAAAGTATGGGTGGACCCTTAGATGACTTTGTGCGCGCCTGTGATCGCACTTCTGAATCATGTTAGGCGGAAGGCACTGGGTCCCTGGAGTCTCATTCAATAAGCTCCGAAATCTCCCTTGAAATAAGGTTTTCATCTTGTTCTAGCAATGTAACCCTGGAGCGCAACCATTTTTCTTTTACAGTTTACTTCCACGCCTGCGCCAGTTAGCTCGACTTCGAGCCGCGAGTCTCGCTTCGTGAAACACCTTACGCCTTCATGTCTTCGCACCAAACGCAGTGAGACTGTCGCCAAGAAGTTCGTCAGGCGCGTCGGTAAAGCAGGTCTGCTGAAAGCGCAGTTAGCGTCACTTACCGGCGCCAACGCCAGCGCAGACAGTGCGTGAGACATCTGCAGCGGCGTAGATCCATTCAGCGCCGGTCGCACCGGTGAACGCGGCTGGCGAGCGCAGAGCACTCGACGAGGCTTTTACCGCGCGCTCTTCGATCTTGACGCGAGAGTGAGCCAAAGGAAATGCGGCGACTGGTCGATCGCGCGACTGCACAAAAGGGATAAATGTGCAAAGTGGCGTGCGGTGAGGTGACACCTTTTCAGGAGCCACCTCCGTTCCTGTGCCAAAGTGATGGGCTCTTTTGATTCGTTCGTTCTCTCGGTCTTCTTCGCGGAATCGTATCGCCGTACAAATGCACCTGTGTCGCCACGTACGCGGAGCACGCGTATACACTAGGCACTTGTCTTTGCAGCAGTTCCACTCAGCACTTCGACTGGGTCATGCCTCAACAGATGTTTCGGCAGTGGGTAATCGCGTCTCGTATAGCATCAAAGGGTTGGAACCAATTGGGACCACTCATAACTACATTAACCAACATCAATACTTCAAACAAACTGTAAAGAGAAGTTTGTTTTTAAACTCTTCATTTCACTTCCTCATTAAAGATCACCTAGTGTCTGGCACATCATAGCCATTGCTGTTGTTGCGACATAAAACCTAACTAACCAACTAACCAACTAGCTAACTAACTAGCTAACTAACTAACTAACTAACTACTAACTAACTACTAACTAGCTAACTACTAACTAACTAACTAACTAACTAACTAACTAACTAACTAACTAACTAACTAACTAACTACTAACTAACTAACTAACTAACTAACTAACTAACTAACTAACTAACCAACTAACTAACTAACTAACTAACTAACTAACTAACTTCAACACATCTCAAGACCTCATTGATGATACCGAACCAACCACACATAATTAACGTCAAAATGGTTTGTTCTGCGTATTCGTATCTTTGTTTACTTTATTTACATAGTACCTGCAACACCGCAGTGGCATTACTGCAGGGGGGTGTATATGCAAAGTCAGTATGGCTAATGACATTTCTGTGATAGCACAGAAAAACATAATAGAAAATATAATTCTAATATGTAACAATCACAGTATGCAAACAATATTTTGGTAGGATATGGCACATAACAAAGAGATACCAGAAGTGCAATACACATTTCACAGCGATGAGAAAAAAGGAACGTTGCATTTTTAGTCTATTTACCGCACGTTATACTTCGAGGCTATACTTTTTTGTTATCAGATTTAAAAATAAATCAATTTCTCACGGCGCTAGTGTGCTATTCATGTAACATGTAACATTTATATTCATTTTCTTCTACCTTACTGATTTTTTTTTATGAATATCGCCTGTATATGTATGCAGAATTAGGCCAAAAAATTAGGTAACTCCCACTGTTGCACTAAAAATGAAAGAGGCAATAGTTAGCCCAAGAAATAGCTGCAAAGCGACTGCAGTGAGTCGAAGACACCCATTGCGTAATGCAAGAAAGCACCATAGAATGGGAAGGGTGACGGCGGCTGCGAAAAGAAGCCAAAGGGTTGGAAGGCCCACGATGACATGCCCGGCGATCCAATAAGAACGCTTCAGGGTGAGTTTCTGTCTCTGGAGTTTGTAAAACCGTCTCGGCGGTTTAAATCGAATCTCTCTGTGCTGAAAATCAACGTTGAAACAGCCTACTGCTGAAACAACTAAGAAGCAGCTAGATCGATCTTCAGCTTCGTACAATTTCGATGTTTCAAGCATTGCGCGCCATAGTGGAAGCTGTGTCACTCAAGCCGACCACTCTATGTGTGAGTAAATACCCTCCCCCCCCCCCTTTTCTTACTTTGTGCTCCTCTATCTTTGCTTCTATACTTCTCTAGTCATCACCGCAAACGTTGCTCAAGTGTAACTAAATATCCGTGCTTAACACATGTCTCCATTCAGTGATTATTTCGTTCCTTACGCGGCAGCGCTGCGAGCCACAACTCGCCATTGTGGACGTTTTTCCGCTTGGAAGGGGACAGGACGACGACGATAATAACAATAATATTATATCAATTGTTGCTCTTTTATATCGACGTCCGCTTCACAGAAAAGCCCCTTTGCCACGAGTAGCTACAAAACTGCACGAAAAAGCGACAAGAAACAGATAAGGCACACCGCAGCCTAGCAACTGAAAATTTATTGAAGGATACAGATATATAACTAGAAAAAAACAACAACATTCAGTTGCTAGTCTGCGCTTGTGTGTGCGCCATCTCTGTTTCTTGTCGCTTTTTTGCGCAATTTTGTAGTTATGAATTACCATATCGCCCAGCGTTCAGTACTCTTAACATGAATGTTTTATGCCGAGCTATACCACGGTAGGCACCTACTTCACGGATATGACGTTGTAAGATATACACTAACACACAGTAAAGAGAAAAAAAAAAAACAAGGTAAAACTCCGCCAACTGGCAGTTAAACCTATGACCTCTCGCTCAGCAGCACGCGGCGTGAAACGACTCAGCCACGAGCCGAAGGTTTTGATAACTAACGGTGAGCTATTTATATATGTACACCATTCACTGTCGGCGGTACTCGGGATGGGCGAATTCAGCGTGTTTTCGTTATGACAAAAAAAAAATGGTGCAGCGAGCGCGAGGGTGCGCTGTGAAAGTCGTAGCTCGGCGGGTTGCGATGCACGCGCGCTTATCTTGTGATCGGAGCTGTTCGCGCGCCTCAGGCGGCCGTTTCATTTCCATATAGCACGAAGGTCACCTCGCTCGCTACAGCGGCCGCGTTTGCGAATGCAGCGCACTGCTGAGACACAAAGCAGTAAGTGTGGCAGTTGTTCGCGCTCGCCTCGTACTTTGATTTCGATGCAGGTTAAAGAACCCCATGTGGTCGACAATTCTGGAGCCCTCCACAGCGGTGACTCTCATAATCATATCTTGGTTTTGATACGTTAAACCCCGACAATCAACACTGAAGTGCAACCTTTTAAATATACGGCATTGCTAAGTGTGGTATACGTTTAGATGTATGTTGTAGACTGGGATAAAGGAAGGTTATTTAAAAACATGCGTGATTAAGTGATTTGAAGGTATATAAACTCTAGAGGTGCATTTCGGAGCAGTACTGATTTGCAAGTTAACAAGGTAGGGAAGCAAACGACAGTTTCATAAAGAGAAAAGCAAAATAAAGGCAGGGAGGTTAACCAGGTTGTACTCGATTTGCTAACTTATGTGAGGTAGGTGGCAGAAGAGAAAAAGAAGAAAAAAAAAAGAAAGAATAAACCATACCCGCACGTGCATATACGCGCTTACTGCACACACAGCCACACACAGGCAGTCACAAGAAGGCCCTGTTACCCTTTAGTTCAGCACACTACAAGCTTGTTAAGCGATGAATTGCCAAAGCATGTATGATGGCATCATTGCCAAGGTTTTGCCGTCACCAAGACAGAAATCTGTCACCAAGACAGAAATCAGGTGCCCTTTCACCTTCTGAAAAAACCATGCATTAATTCATTACAGCGTATATTTCGTTCAGACCAGTTGTGCCCCCCCGATCTCCAACGTCAGCGCAGCTCTGGCCGACTGGGCTCCCCCTACGCCATCTCCTGACGCCGACAAGAGCTCTCGCCGAGTGGTGCCCCGTCCTCAGGCTCCTGCGACCGTGTCCATCTTTCCTATATTCTTCTCACTTCCGTATGGGGCTGCCCCTGTCCCTCTCTCTATCTTTATGCCTTTGATGCCTCCCTATCCTTTTTAATCCCCCCTTACCCCCATCCCCTGCACAGAACTGTGGAGGTGCCCTCCATTGAGAGAGGCAGTAACGGAACTGCGCTTATTCTTCCTTTTCCCCTTTCAAAAGTCACTTAACCGCAGAGCTCGGAGTGACCCGCGCCACGCCGTGGTGGTCTAGTTGCTAAGGTTCTCAGCTGTTGACATGCAGGTCGCGGAATCAAATCCCGGCTGCTGCGGCTGCAATTTCGATGGAGGCGGAAATGCTGTAGGCCCATGTGCTCAGACTTGGGTGCACGTTAAAGAACCGCAGGTGGTCAAAATTTCCGGAGCCCTCCACTACGGCGTCTCTCATAATCATATGGGGGTTTGGGGACGTTAAACGCAACATATCAATCAATCAAATCGGAGTGACCCGCGGCAGACACAAACGACGCGGCTCACCCATGTCACTCCTTCGTCGCTGATTGGCTACGTCACTCTCTGGCAAACGGCAAACGGTGCAAAATTGGTCTCTTACCCGTTCTTTGAACAGCAAACAACGGCAGACGTGCGCAACGGAAATAGCCAAGCATGACTGCCTGAGAAAGTCAAACGGTGAGGCATGCATGCCGTTAGCGTGAACCGGCCCTTACAGAATAACTATGTGTGATTGGCCAAGATTTTGTAGTTCACTTTTCTTTCTCTTTCTTGTTCTTTCCCAGTTTTTTGTCTATCTCTTTTTATTCTTATTTTTCGTCACATCCTTGTCTCTCTCTATTACTTGCCGGCTTCCTCATTCTATATTCAGGCGTGGTTTGTGTTGTGTTCGCGTTGTCGTAACGCCCGCCCTTAATATTATCATCAAGATGCTCGAAGAATCAGAGGAAGAAGACTTCTTTTTGCCGTCAGCACGCGCTCAACATGCTACAGCCGGATATAAGCTATATTTGGTTTAGCTTGCGTTACGCCAAGTGACGATGACAGCAAACGACAGACCGACCCTTGAACATCTCCACCCAGAATGTTGCAGGGTGCACATACAATATACAATACGCAGAGTTGCGAACGTTTGCAGGTTGGCGAGCAGCGTAATTACTGCATGAAGCTTGCGATTTCAATTCAAACTAACCTGCATGGTCAGGTTTCGCATGATCCTTTCCATGGGATCGAAGGTGACCCAAAGGGTGACGATTGCGCAGTCGATGAGGACCAGGACGCAGACAAGCGCGATCAGCTGCTGATCCTGAAGGAGCTGCATCGAAAAGAAAGGAGGCGTTAGTCTCTTGCATGCTTTCTTTTTCTGTACGTCTACGGTGTTACATGCAGCATCAAAGACCAAGTTTAATGACGGACGGAATGCACAAGCAATGTGGCGCGTGGTTTGTTTATATTTACAAAAGATTTATGAAATGGCGGCCAGAGAACACATTGAAAATAAATATTGGAGCATTACGGTATACATGAACGAAAATACGCTAGGCATTTAGGTGACGAACATCTTGATATGCCAGCGCTATCACCTCGTGCGTGACAATGAGGTGAGGTACGATTCAATGTGATCCTAATATTCCCCCTGTTTTTACATTTTTTACTTACTACTTTTTTTGTGTGCGCCTCCATTTTTGTTTTCCATATACCACATTTCCATTCTCGTCGCTGAGTATTAGCAAGTCAGCGGCTTGTACAAGCCGGCTAAATACAACCTTTCTATAAAATGCTCTCTCTCTTAGTTACCGAGAGAGACTATTGAGGTCTATATCGCATAAAAATGACAGATCCCACATATATCTTGAAAATCAAACTCATGGGAAGTATGCGGATGGAAGGTGACAGGGTTGCAATTTTTTTATTGAGCAATATGTTACAAACTGGCGCTAGAGATATTGACAAATGCACGCACACACACGCACGCACGTTAAACAGTCGCATATATTTTATATAACCAGTTGTTCAATGTTGCGTAACGCTGCCAACAGCAACATGCATATTAGCAAATCCAGAAGGGGTAAGCTGATTTGAAGCCCTGGTGCTCGCGCGGGTTGTAGCCCTGCAGAACTCTACTACATAAAGAAACTTCAGCGAATAGCGCTTAACTAGAACGGACATTAAGCAGACGTGACAGCTGTTTCAAATGAGTATACAGTCAAGTATGATTTGAAGGTTATCGCGCAAGCATCGATCAAGAACTGCAACAGTGCCAAGTCCCAGAATACACTTTCGAGAAGAGGGTGGTATCACGCAAGCTCCACTCACTCTTTTTGCTATTCCTTGATCCGCGATCACTCCCGTCTCATGAAGATGGTTAAACAAAGCAGTGCCTAGCTAGCACTATAGCTGTAACACATTTTCCCAAGCATTTTTATGATCGGCTGCGGAGATAACAGCTGACGAAGAATACACTTCATCGTGACGAATGAGGGGCTCGAAGTCGAGAGAACGGGTATAGAGTTCGTTTTAGGGGTGATTGTTGCAGCATAGAACAGCCAACGACGGAGAGAAGAAGGCGAAATCGTTGTTTTCATTGTTCAGATACGTGCTGCTAGGTCGCCGGGAGCTCGATAACTTTCATATCACGCGCGACTGTACTTATCTAGTGTTTATAAAATTAGATAGACGTTTTACAAACATTAAAGTCGATTTGAAAAGTAGTTCCGAGACACGTGGATCTGTAATAGAATACTCGATTGCCACGCAGAATGCTGGGGTTAGATTCCTGCTGGGACCCTGACAAAATATAAACAAAGGTATATACAAGCATGCACAAACGTATGTAAAAGTATTATACGCAGAGACACACATGTTGAACAGCCGCACATGTTCCATATAACCAGTCATTTACCGTCCCCTAACGATGCCAATTAAGAGCAACATTACCAACACCAGAAGCCGTAAGCTGAAACGTCGCACTTGCGAGGATGGTAGCCCTGGGTAGTGCTACGCGAACCAACTTGAGTGGATAACGCTTAACTACAATTGACGTTGACCCGATGGGACGCCTGTGTCATTAAAATACATATGTGATGTTTGTAAGCTTAGGTGAGCAGCACTGCGACCACAATTGACGTTTCACCGACATTGCGCCTTCACTTGTCGCACGAGAAACATACATCACCCCACACATTTGTTGCAACATTGCAACTCTGACAAACATGTGACAACTCTGACAAACATTACAACTCTGACACGGCCAAAAATACTTTTCAATAGACTCATGCAAAGATGCAGGGTACTTTGTCGCTCTCAATAATATGAGGATTAACTGTTGGAGACGTAAACCGTGCAAATATGCATGTTTACGTTTCTTTCTTGTCGCACACATAGATCAGTTTGTCACAATCGAGCGTATCAAGTGCACTACGAAGATCACTTCCGAGGACGCGCGATGAAGCTTGTAATTTTATCGTGCGACAAAGTGTGACGACCCCGAAGAAGAAGCAGGAACGAAGCGAACGATGACTGGGGGAGTGAAACCACGACGTCAGCTCTGCGGTTTCGCTCGGCGAGCAGCGACGCGCGAATTCTCCCGTCGGAGCTACTTCCGCGGTTTCGCCTATTTATTGCGTCCCACGGGAAGCGGCGGCAGTGGCGACCGGGGAAGTGGTGCGCGAAAGTAACCGCCCGGGTCCTGCCTCGTTTGCCGATAGCGACTCCCTCGGCTGGTTCCTCGTCTCGTTCCCTGTACGGGAGCCGCGGCCCCGTTCCGGCGCTGCTGCTGACATGGCAGGTGTCGAAGGAGCTGCGTCGGCTAAGTTCACGCAAGGCAGGTCTCATTTTTTACATATGCACTGTGGTGGGTAGCGAAAAATAGAGCCCAGTTTTGAATAATAATAATAATAATAATAATAATAATAATAATAATAATAATAATAATAATAATAATATAATAATAATAATAATAATAATAATATAATAATAATAATAATAATAATAATAATAATAATAATAATAATAATAATCAAGATGCTCAAAGAAGAAGCGAATGCGCTTTGGAGCGAGCTACAGGTGGCTACGCTGCTATATGGGGGTTTTTGCTGCATTACGCCAAGCTACGACAGTATACGATGGTGACGCTCACGACATCATAGAGCAACCCGGCTTCATAAAGTGTTCCACACTTGGAAAGATCAGCTACGTTTTTACGTAGCTTTTTGTCTATTCATTATTTTTTCAGGATAACGTGAAGCACACGCGCTAAAAATGTTGCGCCAGAGTTCGGTGAGCGACATTTCTCTTATATCAAGAGGAACGACGGCACTCAAGTTCAGCTTTGCCTGGCCTTTCATCCGAAAAGTGGTGCGTGTTTTTCTTTTCACCCGAACTTGCGCAAACACCGTCTTAAAGGAAGTTTTCCCTTGCATAAACATGGTTAGCACGACGAGCTTATCGTCGGTTTTGTTAGGAAAGCTTTCTGCGGTGTTTATTGCAAAGCTTGCTACAGGTCGCTCCTTTCTCTTCAAGTTACTTTCCTTTTTTTAAACTGCTTATAGGAGCAAAGCACTCCAACAGCGAGGTGTACACACGCAGTAATGTTGCCCAATCCAAGACGCAAACAAGAGATACGTGTATCTTGCGAATGGTTATAAAGCAACTCAACACGAGGAAACAAGACGTACAGGATGGAGCGCCGCCTTGTGTTGAATTACCCTTCACAAATGTGTACCTACCAGCCCAAGATCACGTTTCATTAAAGTACGCGCATATTAAATGCGAAGCGTTTCTTTACGTACTGTAAGCACGTTTAGTATCTATCTATCTATCTATCTATCTATCTATCTATCTATCTATCTATCTATCTATCTATCTATCTATCTATCTATCTATCTATCTATCTATCTATCTATCTATCTATCTATCTATCTATCTATCTATCTATCTATCTATCTATCTATCTATCTATCTATCTATCTATCTATCTATCTATCTATCTATCTATCTATCTATCTATCTATCTATCTATCCGTCTGTCCGTCTGTCCGTCTATCTATCCGTCTATCCGTTTATCTATTCGTCAATCCGTCTGTCCACGCGTCCATGCGTGCGTCCGTCCGCCCGCCCGCCCGCCCGTCCGTCCATCCGTTCACGCCTGGGTGCTCTCGTGATCACCCTCTTAACTTGGCGTAAACCAAAATTAGTATGGTAGGGTAAGATGGAAACGCTAGCATGCGCGGACCTGTGCCAGCGGCCCCTGTCTTGTGGAAGTGCGAGCGTGTCAATGATCTGGATGCGACGCCATTGCTTGATCGCTCTGAAGGGCTGTTCGCGCGTACGCTTTATAAGGCAAGTTCTCGCTTGCGATTGTTGACCAATTGTTACAAGTGGTTTACAGGTGTGAAACCTCCATCATTTTTTACAGCGCCTTTAACTATAGATATTCTGCGTGAAGAGCTAAAAATTACTTGTTTGAAATACTTGTCTGTAGACTAGTTGGCTCATAATGAAAACTGTTCAGTAACATACTCAACAGAGAACCCATAGCAAGTCCGTGACACTGATAATAATAAGAATTATAATTCAAAACTTACGTCCGCCCTCCCGTTCACACACACAAAAAAGATGATTACCAGAGACACCATCGAAAGAGCTTTGGAAATGTCGACCACCTTGAGTTATTTAACCCACAACAAAACTAAATATACGCGTGCCTAAAACATTTTCGGCTCTATCGAAAATGCGGCTGCGGTGGCCGAAATTTGATCCCACCACCTGCGGGTGAATAGTCGAGCACCTTGACCACCATGGAGGGCCATTACAACAAAGCCGCATTGGTTCACTAAAGTGAACATACACATGTAAATATATAAATACATGAATAAATGTATAACTATGTGAATATACAAAAGAAAAAGAAAAAAATTAACAAACAAATAAATGAATTTCTTGTGCCACACTGCTCCACTCCACATCCAACGCCAGAGTTAAATTACTTGTGAATTTTTTTTGTTCTTGCTTCTCTCGATACGTCAAGACGAAAGTCACGTTTGGAAGTTACGTTTCTCTGATATCAGAGGAACGACGGCACAGAAGTTCAGCTTCGCCTGGCCTTTCATCCGAAATGTGGTGCGTGTTTTTCTTTTCACCCGAACTTGCGCAAACACCGTCTTACAGGAAGTTTTCCCTTGCATAAACACGGTTAGCACGACGAGCTTATCGTCGGTTATGTTAGGAAAGTTTCCGGCAGTGCTTATTGCAAAGCTTGCTATAGGTCGTTCTTTCTCTTCAAGTTACTTTTTTTTTAACTGCTTATGTGAGCAAAGCACTTCAACAGGGAGCTGTACACACGCACTAATGTTGCACGATTCAAGACGCAAACAAGACGTCCGTGTATCTTGCGAAAGGTTATAAAGCAACTCAACGCGAAGAAACAAGAGGTACAGGATGGAGCGCCGCCTTGTGTTCAATTATCTTTCACAAACTTTGAACCTTTCAGCCCAACATCACGTTTCCTTAACGTACGCACATCCATCCTCCATCCATCCATCCATCCATCCATCCGTCCGTCCGTCCGTCCGTCCGTCCGTCCGTCCGTCCGTCCGTCCGTCCGTCCGTCCGTCCGTCCGTCCGTCCGTCCGTCCGTCCATCCATCCATCCATCTGTCCGCTCACGCCTGGGTGCTCTCGTGAAGACCCTCTTGGCGTAAACCAAAATTAGTATGGTTGAGTAAGATGGTAACGCTAGCATGCGTGAACCCGTGCCAGCGGCACCTGTCTTGTGCAAGTGCGAGCGTCTTATGATCTGGATGCGACGCCAATGCTTGATCGCTCAGAAGGGCTGTTCGTGCGTACGCTTCAGCGCAAGTTCTCGTTTGCGATCCTTGACCAATTGTTACAAGTTATTTACAGGCGTTGAAACCTCCACCATTTTTTACAGTGCCTCTAACTGTAGCTATTTTGCGTGATGAGCTAAAAATTACTTATTTGAAATACTTTTTTGTAGACTAGTTGGCTCATAATGAAAACTGTTCAGTAACATACTTAACAGAAACCCATAGCAAGTTTGTGACACTAATAATAATAATAATAATATAATAATAATAATAATAATAATAATAATAATAATAATAATAATTAATAATAATAGTAATAACAATCATTCAAACTTACGCCCCCCTTCCCCGCCCAACACACGCAAAAAACGAGATGATTACCAGAGACACCATCGAAGAGACCTTTGAAAATGTCGACCGCCTTGTGTTCTTTAACCCACAGCGAAACTTGATAGGCGTGCCTAAAACATTTTCGGCTCTATCAAAAATGCGGCTGCAGTGGCCGGGATTCAATCCTGCGACCTGCGGGTGAATAGTGGGGAAGCTTGGCCACCATGGAGGGCCACTACAACAAATGCCACATTGGTTCACTAAGGTGAACATACACATGTAAATATATAAATACATGAATAAATGTATAACTATGGGAATATACATAAAGAAAATGAAGAAAAATTAACAAACAAATAAATGAATTTCGTGTGCCACACTGCTCCACTCCACATCCAACGCCAGAGTTAAATTACTTGTGAATTTTTTTTGTTCTTGCTTCTCTCGATACGTCAAGACGAAAGTCACGTTTGGAAGTTACGTTTCTCCCTCGTTAATGGATCATCGCCACTCCGGAGCTGACCATCGAGATCTGCATGATATGCACACTCACCTTGTTCTTGATGACGCCGCTGGAGGCACGCACGAACAGATGATGCACCCGGTAAGTCTTTATGAAGATCGCCCCGAAAGCCAAGGAGAAGCCACCCGACAGCAGGAAAGCCCGCACCTGCACCCCGTTGAATTGAATTGAAACAACTTACAAAATATAGTATCGTGAGAAAAGCATCTTAATACCTATAGCCTAAGCCTAGTTGGCATTCACTGAAAAGTAATCATGAAAAAAAGACGTATAGCTTATAAATGAAAAAGAAGTGTAGAAATAATTATTTTCACTAGTGTTATAACACTTGGAAAACTTATCGTAACATTATTGATTTAGCTTTTCGTGCACGATTCTTTATAGTTACGTTATAATTAGTTCTAATAACAACTCGTATTTTTCCCTTGGCGTCAGTGCTGTTATTTTTTATTAAAAGAAACGTTAGGCCTGCGCGTAAGGCGCATACTAGTCACAGCTAAAGCCAGAAGATCGCCCTTTCAGAGCCTTTTCTAAACACTCATTGGATAACTGCTGCAAGCACACTTGTTGAATACCCACTACGGCAATATAATAATAATAATAATAATAATAATAATAATAATAATAATAATAATATAATAATATAATAATAATATAATAATAATACTAATAATAATAATTAATAATAATATCTGGGAAGTAGACCAGCATTCGCTATGCTATTTCTCGTCATTCTTCTGAGAAGCGTTGTATCCGCTAAACACTTGCAAGGAATTTCGTGCCAATCGTTCATGCAGTGGCTCACGATGATGAGAAATTATGCCTGTAGTATGTATGCACCACAGTTAATAGGTGATCGAAACCAAGCTTTTGTAATGAATTGGAGCATTAAACGACTTACTGGTTACGCTGCTCGCATTGTTTGACGCCTCGTTGTTCTTTTACTGTTCTAAAACGCTTTATTACTCATATTATCGCGATTCCTTTTCCGACATCAAGCCTGCCTAAGGCAAGTTTACGAACAAGGTCCATGCACCGGCGTGACTGAGTTGTAGAATAGTGGTTTAGAGTGCCTCGATGCCCGCTCCCCCGCTTAGAGTGAAGACATCTGCTGCGGTCGCCATTACCACTCCCGTTGCATACCGGTGTCGTTCTGGTGCGTAGTGGCCCACTAGCATAATGCGAATGGTTGTAGCCTGAGTAACTGAACGTGCAGGCATAACATGCCGAACAAAGCCGACACTTGAGCTCTACAGCTTGGCGAAGACGCGGCAGACACTACAATGGCAATGGGAGCATACAAAAGTGGGAGCACTCTGAGAGCGGGGGCACGCGCATCGATGCACTCTATACTGGGTCGGCACGCAGCGGACCTGGGTTTGAGCCCCGCGGTGTCTTTGGTGCTGTCTTTTTTTTCACTTCGCGATAATGGTTACTGACACTGGCGGCCGCGCGTGACCCGAGTTTTGATCTCACAACAGCTTCGCTGTAAAAAAGGCGCTCTTAAATTTACACTTCCTTCCTTAATTATAACATTATGTATATACAGAGCTTAGTGGTTAATGATGAGAATGGACCGGAAAGTTTAGAAAAAAACAAAAGAAAATTAGTTAAATTGCGTATAAGAAAAAAAGCTAACTCACATTAAAGTAATATATAATATATATATATATAGATATATATATATATAGATATATATATATATATATATAATATATATATATTATATATATATATATATATACTATATATATATATATATATATATTGTACCGAAGCATAGTGGCGCCAGCTCTGTGCCAGCGTGAAAGAAGACGTTGACGTCCGTGTGTGGCTCGTGCTTGCCGGGTTCCTGCCTGTACCAGCTTGTTGCGGCTAACGTTTCTGGAATAATAACCTGTGTTTTTACGCAACCTTGCTCGTTGCATTTGGTGGAAACGTGCTGGGTAACGTCCTGGAGCTCCGCAGCCGTAAGCTACCTTCTCAGTCCACGATGACCGAGCGCGTCGATCCCCCACAAGGCTCTTCCACGCTGCCACCCGTCATGTGTTCTGGTGTACTTCGTCTGCGTGACCCACCAGTATACAACGGCACAGAAGATCAAGATGTCGAGGACTGGCTGGCAGAGTACGAGCATGCCAGCGCGATTAACAAGTGGGATGACCCTGCGAAGCTGATTCACGTCATCTTCTACTTGACGGATTTGGCCAACCTATGGTTCACCAACCACCAAGCCGACATCCCCACCTGGTCGGTTTTCAAAGAGGCCGTCACCTCGTTTTTCGGTCGTCCAGCCATGCGTAAGCTTCGCGCTGAACTGGGACTGCGGGGACGATTTCAGCGAAATGGTGAGAGCTTCACAGCTACATTGAGGATGTGATCAGCCTCTGTAGGCGAGTTGATGACAGGATGACGGAGGCTGACAGAATAAAGAACATAATGAAAGGCATTGATGACGACGCTTTTCATATGCTTGTGGCCAAAGACCCACAGACCGTCACGGCCTTGATTCAGTTATGTCAAAGTTTCGATGAGCTGCGCAAGCAACGAGTTTCTACACGTCGCGCTAATACGCAGACAGCTGATATTTCGGCCTTGGAGTGCAAAAGCAGTGGCCCCGACTACAGCGTGTTAATGCCTCAAATTCAACAGTACATCCGGGAGGAAGTTGCTCGACAGCTCTCTCTTGTCGCCACCATCAACGAGACCCCCACAACACTGGACCACTCACTTCGCCGTGCTATTCAGACGCAAGTTGCCGAGGCTCCCCTTCGCCCACATCCCCAATATCAGTGGCTGCACCGCTGACTTATGCAGAAGCCGTCCGCCGACCTCTGCCCAACCGCCGCTCCCTTCATACAGTCCAGCCACCACTACTACAGGTCACCATTTCAGTTTAGTTATCCGGTAAATCGGCCCATTCCACCACCTCGAGCACCTGCCAACTCTTGGCGTACTCCGGATAACCGGCCCATCTGCTACAACTGTGGTATTCCAGACATGTCGCGCGCTACTGTCGTCGCCGTGGATTCTATTTTAATGATGTGCAGCATTCCGGCAACATACCTCGGCCATCAGAATCGCATGTGACACCTGATTCGCATGACCCCCGCTCACGTCGACCAGACTTCAGCCGACGTCGATCTCCTTCACCCCGTCTTCGGTCTCCTTCCCCCATGCTTTGCCGTTCCAACCACGCCCAGGAGGAAAACTGACAGTCGCAGTTCCTGAGGCAAGAGCTGCGCCACCGACGAAATTTCCAAGGCCTCATCTATCGCCCCTAACGAGATTGCCGTGTTTGTGGACGGTTTCGCCACAACTGCTCTTGTCGACACAGGTGCCGCTATTGTATAATCAGTGAAGTGTTATGCCGCAAACTGAACAAAGTGACGACCACTGGTTGAAATTTCTTTACGCACGGCGAGTTCGCAACACGTCCAACCTTCTGCCACATGCACTGCTCGTGTTGTGATTCAAGGAGTGCTTTACATCGAGAATTTGTCGTCCTTCCGCATGCGTCTCATGAAATCATCCTGGGATGGAACTTTCTTTCCGCTAATCATGCGGTTGTCGACTGCGCTCGTGCTCAACTCGTTTTGTTTCCATTCAGCACGACATTCATAGATCTCCCTCGCTCACCCAAAAAGGTGATCGTCGCCGCTGACGTCGTCATTTCTGCTTTTTCGGTCACCGCGGTATCTCTTTGTGTGCAACTCCCGTTACCGATTCAACTGCCCTATTTATGCCGTCACAAGAATGCGCTCGTCGCCGGAACCTTGTCGTCCCGTTTGCCGTCATAACACTTGCCGATGGCTCCAGTGCCGTGTACGTGTGCAATCCGTTCCCTTGTCCCGCTACCTTATTGCATGGCGAATGCATTGGGAGTCTTGACACTTATGATGACATCTTTCCTTTCGATGCCCGTTCTGATACGACACCGATGTCCGTGGATGCTGTCACAGCTGGCACCGCGCCCTCACTACCTGACGAAGACGTTCTGTTGCGCAGCGTAGACACCGGCCTTACGCAAGACCAGCGCAATCAGCTCATTCAACTACTTGACCGTTTCCGCGCCTCCTTTGACCACGGACAACCTCCCTTGGGACGCACGTCAGTTGTCGCTCACCATATCGACACCGGTTATCATACTCCACTTCGTCAGCGCCTTACCGCGTCTCGCAGGCCGAGCGTGGCGTCATCACTCAACACGTCGACGAGATGCTGCAACGTGGTGTTATTCAGCACTCACACAGTCCTTGGGCTTCGCCAGTGGTCCTCGTGCGAAAAAAGGATGGCTCCATCAGGTTTTGCGTGATTATCGTCGACTAAACAACATCACACGCAAGGATGTTTATCCCCTGCCACGCATTGATGACGCCTTGGATTGCCTTCAAGGTGCGGAGTTTTTCTCTTCACTGATCTGCGCTCTGGATATTGGCAAGTACCATGGCTGAACCAGACCGTCCAAAAACGGCGTTTGTGACCCCTGACGGCTTATATGAATTTAATGTAATGCCCTTCGGTCTTTGCAATGCGCCTGCGACTTTTGAAAGAATGATGGACAGTGTCCTCAGGGGACTTAAATGGCACATCTGTCTTTGCTATTTAGACGACATAGTTGTATTCTCGGCGAATTTCGAAACTCATCTTTCCCGTCTGGAACAAGTTCTCCAGTGCCTTACGGCAGCCGGGTTGCAACTTAACTTCAAGAAATGTCGTTTTGGCGCCCGCAAACTCACAATTCTCGGCCACGTCGTTTCAAAAGAAGGAATATCGCCAGATCCTGCCAAACTGCGTGCCGTTGCCGAGTACCCCAAGCCTACTACCCTAAAGGAGCTTCGTAGTTTCATAGGCTTGTGTTCCTATTTTCGGCGTTTCATTCGCAATTTTGCCTCTATAATTGCCCCTCTGACTCAGCTTCTCTCCCGTAGCACGGACCTCTCTGGCTGGAATTCCCACTGCGATGAGGCATTCACGGCGCTACGCCGGCTACTCATCTCTCCGCCAGTTCTCCGCCACTTCGATCCCAATGCACCCACTGAAATTCACACGGATGCAAGCGGTGTCGGCCTCGGTGCCATTCTCGCTCAACGCAAGGATGGCTGCGACGAGTACGTTGTCGCCTATGCCAGCCGTACACTAACGAA